GCGCGGGCTGCACACCTGTCTTAATCACGTTGTGCCGCAGCCGGATGATCAGCGTGTAGGTCCCGTCCGCCTGAAACTTCTCCCCGAACTGATCCAGGACCTGGTTGAACTTGGCCAGGTTGCCCGTCCTGACGGCTGCGGGTGGGAGGGGAGGAGGCGTGCGGGTGTGGATGAGGATGCGGGCAGGGGCGCGGATCCTGCTCCCGTACCGGGGCGGGCCGGACTTACCTTGTGTGAGCAGGAAGTAGGGCATGAGAGAGCGCTTCAGCGAGGGCTGGCGGAACTGCAGGCGGTCGGGGATCTCGCCCAGCAGCAGCTCCACCACGATCAGCAGCTTGTGCACCTGGGGACACGGCACAGTGGGCGGGAGGGCACCCCGGGCGGGGGAGGAGGGCAGCACGCACCGGGGCCTGGCAGAGACGCAGGGAGGCCGGAGGGCACAAGGCCGGCCTTTCTTTTACCATGTTTTTGTGATACTGGAACTGAACCTGGGGACCGGGTCTGAGCTGTCTCCTCTGCCCTTCATATTCTTACATTTTGAGACAGGGATTTGTTAGGTCACTAAGTTGCCGGGCAGGGCTCAAACTTATTATCCCGCCTCAGCATCTCAGAGTGGTGGGGTTACAGGGGAGCACCAGGAAACCACCCTCGGAGTGACCCACGGGTGTGGGGAGGCCATGGACACGGGCGAATTGAGGCGTTGCCTTGGGGATTCTGCATTTTTCCATAGGGAGCAGGTCCAGCGGGCAAAAAAGCTGGGCACGCCGGGGGTTGAGGGGCAGCAGCTGAGGCCCCTGGGCAGCGCCCCACCCACCCGTCCTTCAGAACCAGAAGAGCAGCCCATGGCGTCCAGCAATGGCAATGGCTCCAGTAACACCGAGGACACAGACAAGCAGCAGGTGACTTAGTCACTGGGGAGCAGGGACACTAGAGGTGACCCTGTGGGTCATACCTGTGCCTGCAGAGCGGGAAGACTAAAGGCTGAGGGGGTTTGCTAGGGATGAACTAGGGCCAAGTGTCCAAGTGTCTGGGCCTCTACAGGGGAGGAGCTGGCGCTCAGAAGAGGGGGCAATCCCATGTTGAAGCTAGGCATGGGGAGCCGGCCTGTGACCCCAGCTATTTGGGAGGCTGAGGCAGGAGGATTGCAAGCAAGTTCAAGGCCAGCCAGGGCAACTTAGTGAAGCCCTATTTCAAAATAGGGCTGGAGATTAGCTCAGGGCAAAGGTGTTAGGCTCACTTCTTAGTAAATTCTCACTCACAAACTCCCCAAAATTGCAAATAAAAACAAGTGGTGCCCCAAAGCCACAATCACATGGTGAGGATAACCATAGGGTCTCATTGTGTGCTGTGCGGAGGTGAGGTCTCTGCCGAGGTGCTGAGACAAAATGACTCGGGTGGATTGTAGGCCACTGAGACCGGAGCCTCCTCCGGGGCTCACTCTTGTGCCCCGAGTGAGCCCTGCACACTAGTCGTGCTGCTGACGACACTGTGTCTCCGGTTTGGGGCCTGGAGGGCGAGGTCCAGGCCATGGCTGCACTCGGCCCACACGGATGCAGGTCTGACAGGGACCCGGGAGATGGGGGCACCCAGAAGGGAGGCAGCGCGAGCCTACAGGGGCTGGGCCAAGGCCCTGGGTGAGGCAGGAAGGGCCCGAAGGGTAGAGAAGCTGGCTTTCAGTGAAAACCAGGGATGGAGTATCTGAAGAGCTTCCTGCCACGCGAGGGCACTGAGGCTGGCAGCGTGCACTGGGCAGAGGGCTCTCACAGACCCCAGCCAAACTGGTGCCACCACCTTGGGCCTCCAGGCTGGGGGAGGTAAACTTTCTTTTCGTTGGTACAAGTGAGCAAGCCCAGGGCATGCTACCACCGTGCCTGGTGGGGTCGGAACTTTTCTCTGGGACCCCGTCTCTGCCCTGGGAGGTGCCACTTCCCGTCCTCTCTGCCTGTCCAGTGCCCAGCACCAGAACAGTGCCAGCTCCATGACAGGCGACCGTGCTTCTGTGGCTTGGGCAGTCGCCCTGGCCCCGGACAGAGCGTGGTGTGGTGGGGGCAGGAGCATCTTAGCCCCTCCCAGGACGCCGCTGGGAATGAGGGCAGTTGGGCACGGTGGACTAAAGCAGCCCCGGCCCTGGGACAGGAAGTAGACGGAGGGCACAGGGAGCAGCAGGCCGCCGAGGTGCTCACCGTCTGCTTGAAGCCCACAGCCGTGTGCTGTGGGGCCTTGCGGAGCGCATTGGTCATGGTCCTCCGCGCCTCTGAGTACTCCAGCTGGATGGCTTTGATTCGCCCTGGCGGAGGACAGCACGGCATCAGGAGAGTAGTGTCCCTCGAGCCAAGCAAACCCAGACTGCCGGACAGACCCACCCTCAGAAAATCTGCATGGAAGATGGCATGGTGGCCACACCTGCAATCCCAGCCCTGGGCTGAGGTAGGAGGACCTCTGAGAGGTGGAGGCCAGCCCGGACTGCACAGAGTCCATGCCTCAATAAACCGAAACACAAAAAAAGGAAAGCAGATCCCCATGGAGTGAGCCCAGCTCTCCTGCGGGCCTGCAGGCCATGCTCACCTGTGTAGTACAGGTACCTGGCCCACTCGTTGTTGCTGGCCTGCTCGGGGAACACGGACTTGGACACCAGCTTCTCCGCCTGGTCGTACAGGCTGTAGTGCAGGTAGTTTCGCAGCAGCAGGTTCAGCAGCGTGGCCTGCCCGTCCGCGTCGTGCCGGAGGGTAGCTGTCCGCAGCCTCGCATGCAGGAAGCTTGGGGGGGTGGGAGAAAGCTGTCAGAGGTCTCAGGCCACAGCTTGGAACTGTCTCTGCCTCGCCCCTCTCTCGGATCCTGAAAAAGTGACACAGAGCATTCTGCTGGCTGCACCCTGCTCTTGGCTACTGACTGGCAACCGTGCAAGCGCTGTTCTATTTCTTTTTGGTCATTGGGCTCAAACTCAGGACCTTGTGTTTGTGAGGCAGGCACAGTGACACTGAGCTAAGTCCCTCCTGGCCCTGCTCTATTTCTTTTGGAGATGGAGTCTCACCATGCTGCCTAGGCTGGCCTTGAACTAGGCTTGCCTCAGCCTCCCAGGTAGCTGGGATTACAGATGTTTCCTGTCATGCCCAATTTTTGGGCACTATCCTAGCGGCATGCAAAGGACAACTGCTGCTCTGGAGGGACTCAGACGAGTGTACTAAGAGGTGTGGCAGACAGAAGCAGGGGAAGGAAGGGCTCTGGTTTTCTCCTATGAAAATGGAGCCATGGTAGCCAGGAATTGTGGAGCACACCTGTAACCCAGTACCCAGGAGGCTGAGGCAGGAGGACTGCGGCAAATTCAAGGACAGCCTGGGCTACATAGTGAGTTCAAGGCCAGCCTGAACTGCACGGCAAGATCCTGTCTCAAAAAACAAAACAAAACAGGGCCAGGGATTTAGCTCAGTGGTGCTATTGCCTGCCTCACAAGTGCAAGGTCCCAAGTTTGATCCCGGTTACCAAAAAGTGGGGGGGACTCCTACAGGTTCTGAGCAGGGGCAAGATGACCCCAGCCCTCCCTTCTGCCCCAAACCACTGCTCCGTGTCCCCTGGGAGTGAGTGAGGGAGCAGGGACCGTTCCCTGCAGCCTGGTGGACTCTACTCCTTCAGCCAGCATCAGCCGCACAGCTCAGCACGGCACCACGGGCACCTGCTATCTAGCACCCAGAGCCCGGCCACACCTGCGCACCACGTCCAGCTTGCCCAGGAACTCATAGACGCGGGCGTGGTAATAGTAACACTTGGCGGCCACGAGGTCCAGGGCCCGGCGATTCTGAGTGCTAATCCTCTGCATCAGGTCATCGGAGATTTTCTGTGCCTGGGGAGGAAGCCAAGAGGAGTAAAGCAGAGTGTTACACATGGCGCTGGCCCAAGAGCCAGCCGCACCTTCCCTCGTACAGGTCCAGGACCAGAAATGCCCCTAAAACCCCAGCACGGCCCAACCCCGGGGGTGGGGGTAGGGACGGGGAGAAACAGGTAAACCGATAGGGAATAACCACACACTGAAACATTCGGCCACAAAATGAAGTTCTCACTGACACATGCTTTGGCACGAAACAATCTCAAACTTCATGCATAGCGGTGCATGCCTGCCATCCCAGCACTGCGGGAGGCTGAGGCAGGAGGACTGTGCCACAAGTTTGAGGCCAGCATGGGCTACAGAGTAATTCAAGACGAGCCTGAACTACAAAGGGAGACTGTCTCAACAAAAAAAAAAAAAAAAAAAAAAAAAAAAAAAAAAAAAAAAAAAAATACAAAAAAAAAAAAAAAAAAAAAGAAAAAAAGAAAAGAAAAGGAAGCCCTTAGGGTTGCTAAGTGAAAGCCAGGCACCGGGCTGCCAGCTGACCCCTCTGCATGAACTATCCAGGGCAGGCCCACCCTCGAGACAGGCGGTGAGCAGGAGCCTGGCCAGGCAGGGTGGACAGCGCCTGCTAAAGCTGTGCCCTTTCCGAGGTGGTGACAGTGTCCCGGAAAGAGCGGTGACAGCTGTGCAAGTCGTGACAACAGAAGAACCACTGGACTAGAGCGTGAATTTTATCTTGAAACAAGCCAATGCAACAGAGAGAGGAGGGGTGGCGGCGGTCACAGATGCCCTCCCGTCACGGCGACAGGCTGACTATTCCTAGCTGGAAATGCTTGGGCCCAGAAGAGTCTCAGATTCAGGATTTTTTTTTTCTCCAAATTTTGGGATATTTACACAGGCACAACAAAGACCCAAATCAGAACATAAAATTCATTTGTGCCTCATACGCCTCCTGCACACAGGCCGGAGATCACTGTGTAAAGATGCATTTTTCTTGTGTCCAGGTGTCGGGCCAGGTCCAGAGCTTCCTCCCGCGTGGCTCAGGTCAGGGCTCCAACGTTTGTTTTGGGAGTGTTTGGTGTAGGGGTGCTCAATCCACACCCCGAAAAGCAGCCGCTCTTGAGTAAAGCGGCTGGGGGCTCTGTTTCGGGCCTGTCTTCCCAAACCTTATTTCATGTGACGGGACCGGGAGAAATTAGTCTGGCTGGTGAAGCCCAGGCCTGTCTGTCACCAGCCCCCTCTTCTGACTGCCCCAAAGGACCCCCCACGCTGGCATCCGCCGTCCTCCCAGCCCTCTGGCCCGCTGTGCTCCAGCACCTCTTTGTAGCGCTTGCTGTTCATCAGGAAGATGACCAGGAGCAGCTGCAGATAGGCTTCCACTTCCGGCAGCAGAGGGGCCGATGCAGCTTTCCCCGAGCGGGGACGGAACTGCAGGTCGGCTTCTGTGTCCATGGGCTACGAGAAGGCAGAGGGGATCGGTCAGCCGGGAAACACTGAGCACCACATGCGTTTCTCTTTGTGTTTGCTGAGTGCTTATGATGTACCGAGACTTTACCAGGTGCTGGGGACTCAAAAATAAAGTCTCATTCCTGAGGGAAGCAAGGAGGCCAGCAATGCCACAGATGCCTTTACAGAAGACAATGGAGTATGAAAAGATCTAAGAAATCCTCATCTGGGCTGGGGATTTAGCTCAGTGGTTCTGGCACCTGCCTCCGAAGTGCAAGGGTCCAAGTTCGATCCCTGGTACAAAGAAAGAAAGAGAGAGAGAGAGAGAGAGAGAGAGAGAGAGGGAGAGGGAGAGAGAGAAATCCTCAGCTGGGTGTACACCTGTAATCCCAGCACTCAGGAGGCTGAGGCAAGAGGATCACTGCAAGTTCAATGCCATCCTGGGCTACACAGTGAGTTCAAGGGTAACCTGAACTATATAGTGAGACTTTGTCTCAAAACAAACAAACAAAACAAAACAAAAAACAAACAAAGAAGGCCTGGGGATTTAGCTCAGTGGTGCTGCCATCTGCCTGGCAAGAACAAAGTCCTTAGTTTGATCCCCAGTACCAAAGTGGGCGGGGGGGGAGCCTATAATCAAAGTCAAGATTAAACCACTGCACTTTTATTTATTTACTTTGAGATAGGGACCTGCTACATAGTTTGGGCTGGCTTCAAACTCATGGCGATCCTCTTGCTTCAGCCTTCCAAGTGCTAGAATTACAGGTGCACCACTACGGCTAGCTAAAACCATTATACTTGGAACCACTGTAAATACTATCAGCCAAACAATTACAAAGATAAAATCAAGGGCTGGAGATGCAGCTCAGTGTACCTGCTGCCTGCCTGCCAAGCACAAGGTCCCGAGTTTGATCCCTGGTACCAAAAAAAAAAAAAAAAAAAAAAAAAAAAAGGATAAATCAAGAATTTGACAAAATTTTCCTGGGGTTAGAAACAAAGGCAGTCTGGGGGCCTGGCATTAACCTATTTTTAACTTCACCAACACCGCGACAGATACTGTGTTAAGCCAGCCCAAGAGAAAATCACATTTGGCGAACTTAGGGTTGCAAAGGCTAAAAAGCATCCAAGGCGGCATGAGGGAGGGCACACTTCCCCTTCCCAGGAAACAACTCTCCAACCGTGGCTTCCAAGGAGTTTTGGAGTTTTCCACACTGCTGGTACATAGGATTTCACGGCGGTGTGCAAAGAGGTCTGGGAAGGCAGAGACCTGGAGCTCAGTGCATGAGAGGATTTCACATCTCCAGAGAACGAGGTCGCCAGGACAGGGACGCAGCCGCCACTTAGCCCACTGCAGTGTCTGCTACATGTCAGGCACTGCACTAGGAGTCTAGCAGGCTCCTCCTAGTGCCAAACCATCCACCACACCACCCCAACGATCCAGTAAAACGAGGCACAGGACGTTAAGTCACCGTCCAAGTCCACAGAAACTCCTTGGGAGGGTTTGGATTCAAATTCAACTCTAGCTCTAAAACCTGTGCTCTTAACCCAGTTTTATCCTGCAGCATGGTGAGGCTTCCTCCTAGAGTCCTCTTGTGGGACAACAGAGGCGTCACACGGATGGAGGACAGGGTTGGGGATGGGGGCACTTGGAAATGAGCACGGCTTGGAAGAGCGACACTTCAGGGAAGGGCACTTCCCTCGGCACTGGGCAGGTGAGTGTTAGAATGGGTTGGTACGGCTAGGTGTGGTGGGGCACACCTGTCATCCCAGCACTCGGGAGGCTGAGACGGGAGGATCACTGTTGAGTTCGAGGCCAGCCTGGGCTACATAGTAAGGACTCCGTCTTAAAAAACTACCCCCCCCAAATCCATGACAATAAAAGAAAGAAAGTAGTGCTCAGGTGTTTGTAATGGACAGGTCTTGAGGACCAAGCCAAGCTGTCGTGGGGTCTGATGCCCGAGCCACTCACCTCCTCGAGGAAGGACAACAAGAAGTCTCGAGTGGCGTTGTTGGAGGTGAAAAAGCCATGCACAGCCTTATAGAGAACATAGTGGTTGAGGCGGCGTGAGGTGGAAGGCAGCATCCGCAGGGCCCGCAGCACAAATCTCGGCTCCTTGCCTGAGACAGCTTTCTCTAGCTGTTTTACATGCTCCTTGATGTCTGAAGGACCGAGAAGAAAAAAAAAGTTTCTTCCTACTGTTCCTGTCCCTCACCACTTCTGGCCAGTGGTTCTTAGAGAGGCTCTTACTGCTAGGTGGAGAGGTGCAGGCCTATAATCTCAGCACTCTGGAGGCTGAGGCAGGAGGACTGCTGCGAGTTGGAGGCCAGCCTGGGGTACACAGGGAGACCCCATCTCAAAAGAAGAGAGAGTGGGGTACATACAATACGCGGTCACATTAAACGATATTTATGGATTCTGTACACCGGCTTTTCAGATACACCCAAGAGACAAAGGGAAATATACGGGGACACACACACACACACACACACACACACACAGTAACGCATCTTCGCCACTGTAATATTATTTTGGGTAACAGGATCTTAATACTGCTCCTGTTGTCCAACTTTAGGATAAGAGCTCTGTAGTCAATGCGATCACATCCTCAGAAGCTCCACCCAGGAGCATAACTTTGCTTATCTCAATATTTTAGAGCGGTTTCTCACGCGGTTCAGAGAAAGCCCAGTAAGCATTCTGGTCCCACTTGATCGAGAACCCAGAAAATAGCACCAGGCTCACAGTGGGAAGGCCTCACTCTGCCCACTCCAAAGGCAGCAGAGACAGGCCGCTCTAAGTGGGGAAAACAGAGCAAGAGGAGTAAGAGGGCCAGGAAATAGGACTGGCACCTAGCAGACACGGGCTCGAGCCTGCCGGGCGCAGGCACACGGAGCAGGTCGGAGGCTTCAGTCATCGGGGCTGGGGTCGGGTGTAGGGCTGAAGGGGCAAACGCGTAGGGGCCAGTCCCGGGGACCGAACCCGAGGACGCGGCCGTCCCGCCGCACTGCGCCCGGGAGAAGCCGCATCCCCAGGTCG